GGGGGGGGGGGGGGGGGGGGGAGAGAAGGGTCTCAACCTTATTCCACCCTGCTGGCCAAATGCGCCCCTGCCTCAGTAAGAACCCCACCCTCCCACGGCACCCCCCAACGGTTGCCCCATCCACAGAACCTGGTGAGGTCCTTCGGAACCGCCCTCCCCACCCCAAGGCGGCGGCTCACAGCCTGCTCCCGGGTCCGGAGACACTCACCGGGATGCGCCTCGCGTTGAAGTGGCCGAAGGCCCTCTTGAGCTCGTTGTCCAGGAGCCTGCTGGGGACCCAGAGGTACTTGGGGAGGCTGCGGGAGGAAGCAGAGTTGGAGGAGAGCCGGCTCAGAGCATGTGCGGAGGGCTGCCGGCCCATCTCCCCAGCCCAGGCAGCGCTCCTGCCTCGCCCCGAGCCTGTTCAGGTGTTGCACACAAACCTTACAACCAAAGCGGGATGGGGGACCCTCGAGGCCTCTCCCACTCCATTACTCCAGCACCTGCCTCCTTCACAGAGCTCCCCCTTTGAGCACTCTCAGACCTTGACAGGAATCACCTGCCCCTTCCTCACCAGGTCTGCTATTCAGACAGGGCTGGATGGCCCCTGGCCCTTAAAGGAGGCAGATCTCCCTGTTACAAGGCCATTCCCAAATCCCGGATTGTAGGCAGGGTGCCTGCCGCCCCCACAACTCACAAGACTTCCCCGGATCCATCCCAATTAACACACACAGACAGAGAAGAGAACTCGGGGTCTGCTGGCCCACAGCCAGCACCCCTCCCACGTGTGCTAGAAGAGAGCTCACACCAGCTCTCCCCAGAGAGGCCTTCCACCTCCAGCTCTCGGGAATTTGACAGGCTAAGGATTTTCCCCCAGAAAGTGTCAGTTTGTCGAAACCCGGAGCTTTCCGCGGGAAAGGTGGTTAGTTTTGGCTCATTTTGTGAAATAAAATCATTCGGGGGAAAAACTCCAAAGCTGTCAAAATGTTTCGTTTTGATATTTGCAAGACCGGGAATTTCAATTTTCCGGTTCAAAGCCCCATTTGGTTTAGAAACTTGAGCAAATGAGAGTAAAACAAAAGTGTCAAAGGGTCGAAATAGGAAGGAAACTAAAAGTTTTTCCAGTTCAAGGAAATGTTTGAGATTTTGACTTCTTGCCCCCAACCACCCTTGCCTTCGGGACCGAAACACTGTTCAAAATCGTGAACATTTTCACTGCGCTTCTCTGGCCACTCGAGGAAGCTACATGCCCACGGAAGGGACGCTCAATCCAGTAGGGGGCCATCGATACGGACCTGGGACCGTAGCCAAGGGCCGAGCACCAAACCCGCTGTAGAAAGGGGGTCCAAGGGCGTTTCCGTAGCTTAGGGAGTCTGAATTACTGGAGTGCACCTGGAGGGGCTGTGACCACGGGCACCAGAACAGGGCGGGGCAGGGCCCTCCCACTTTTTACCAGCCATAAGGGCGAGTGACGGGGAAGGGGTGGAGAAGTGCGAGCATGGGGCGGGGCCTTGAGGGAAGGGGCGGGGCCTTGGGAAGGAATTGGCAGCGTGAGGGCAGGGGAATGGGCAGGACAGCATAAGGGGGTGAGGCCACAGTTCAGGCACCTGTGCCCCCCCCCCACACACTTTTAGGGCGCTTCCGCCGCCCCTGGCTGTAACACGCTCCCATGCCATGGGCCGGGGTTAGAGCTGTCCACGAGGCTCTAACTCGCCCCCCAACCCCGGTCCGCGCTTTACCTGGTGGCCATGTCGAAGCGCTCGTTGACGGGGCTGACCCTCCAGCCAGCAGCCCCGAGCCGCCTCAGCTCCTTCTCCCAGTCGCAGGGCCTCTCGAAGAGCAGTGTCGGGGGGGACAACGACTCCTCCGTGCTCAGCCAGGCGTTCTCTGAAGCCGCACAGGAGGGATGGCTGTTAGGGGCGAGCAGGGTAGTGCCTCGTGGGTCCAGCCACCCCAGGGATGGGCCCCTCAAGCTGCCAGGGCCTGGGGGATAGAGCTGCATGCCAAGCGGAGATACCACTTACCCAGGTTCCTTATAGCGCCACTGTCGTACCACGTCCCCGCGCTGGCATTGCTGCTCTCCTGAGCCTGCACGATGGCCAGCGTCACCTGGAAAACAGCAGCAATGGGGGCACTTTGGCAGGGGATCTTCACGGCATCTGGGGCTGTGGGCAGGGTTTGGGTGCCAATGGGAGGGCACAGGGTATGCTGCCAGGCTGGGGATCCAGGAAGGCCCCCAGCAGGGCAGCGCTTGCAGCATGGACCCACGGAGATTTGTAGCCCAGGACAAATCACCAGCGCAAGTCACTGCAGCTGCAGGCCCATCGCTGAGCCAGACAGCCGAACAGAAGGGTCGTGACGGGACCCCGGCCAAGCCTGCTGGAGAGGAAACCCCGCCCCAAGCTTTGAATCGGAGCGTTGCCGCTCAGGGCTTCTCTCCGGGGCAGGGCGTGACAGGCTGGGTTTTCAAAGGCGCCGAGCTGACAACCCCCAGTGAAGTCAATGGGAGCTGCTGGCGGGTCCCAGCTAAGGCAGAGACGAGAGCTGGGGATGCGGGGTGTATCAGGGCATCAGAGGATCGCTAGACGGGGTCGGGGAGGGAAGGGTGGGGTTTGCCTTGCCCAGGGTTCTACGGCTCTGACTCCTGTGGGAGGTAGATTCCTGAGGAAAGGGACCTCGGGAAAGAGGGAAGAAACCGAAGCATCTTGCTCCAGGTCACACAAGCTGCATCTGTCCTGCAGCTGGGCGGTGCCGCTCCCGGCCCGGGGAGACAGACTCGTAAGCGTGCTGAAAACAGCAGTGTGGACACTGTGGCCCGAGCCTGTCGCTGGAGTCCAGGCCCGCCCAGCCCCCGGCTCTGAGCCGCCCTCCGGCCGCAACGCCCTCGCTGCTGTCTTTAGCACGGGAGCTCAAGTGGGGCTAGCAGGAGTCTGCCTACCTGTGCTGAGCAGTGTGGACATCCCTGCCCGGAGTCAGCCTCCCCCCGAACAACTTCATCCCACTCCCCTCCTGGCGCTAGGAACTGAACCCAGAATTCCTGGCTCCTAGTCCCGTGTTAATCCACCAGACCCCACACCGAGGGGTCAAACCACCCCCTGAGGGTCCCATCCTCCCACTCAGGCGACACACAGAGCAACAACCCCCGGTGTGCCCAGCCCCTGAGTCCCAAGCGGGTCCAGCTCAGAGCCAGTCCACTGGAGGTGCCCATCCGTATCCAAGGGTCCCGAAGCCCTGAGCGGCTGGGCCCTGGGAATCACCGGCCGGGGAAAGTGCCCCTGTTTGCAATGGCAGCTGCTCACCTGACAGGCCCGGGGCTCCAAGCCGCTGTCTCGGAAGCGGAAACGCAGCACCCGGAAGTCCCGGCAGTAGAGGACCAGCTCCTCCGGGATGAACTTGAGGGTAGAGTTGGCTGTCAGCACCTTGGCCTTGGTGAAGCTATTCACTGCAGGGGAAAACCAGGTGGAGGAAGGGGGCTTAGACCCAGAAGGCCAGGCAACAATCAGAGTCTTGGGGCAGCTGGGAAGACTCAGCCTCCAGCGTGGGGGCGACCGGGGCAGGATCGGCTCCCAAGCCAGCTGCATGGAGATCGCTCCTGGTGCGGGGGGGAGCTGGCAACGGCCTGTCAGGATTGCCCTGGTGATGGGGAAGCCCAGGGGGAGAGTACACGGATCACTCCAAAAGTGGCCCTGCAAACTATAGCAAGGGCAAGTCTTCCTGCGCCACCCCCCGCCAAGGCACCACGGCCCCAGCCCTGCCCGCAGGTAAGGGGACAGCTGGGTCGCCACAGGCCAGCCTTGGCCTCTCTGCCACTGGGACGGCCCACGAGGGGCTCACAGCACCAGCCAGGGGGGTGGATGCTGGGACGGAGGCAGTGAGCCAAACGGGCTGAGAGCCGCCAAACTCGTCACAGCGGCGGAGGGGATACGGCTTGATTAGATGGACCCCTCCTGCCCCCCCTTTACCTGCCACCAGCCTCCCGATGCAGGGCAGGGCCACGTCGTGCTCACTGTGCAGGCAAGTGGAACAGCGAGGGGCCTACGGTGGGAAAGGAGCAGCGCTTAGAGATCAAGCCCATTCCCCCTCCCCCGGCACGGGGAAGGAACATCCCCACTCGCCAAACCTGCCTCCTGGCTGGCACAGGGGACCCACCACGGCACCACGGCCAAAGGGCTACAGCGGGCCAGGAGGATGGTGTCTGCCAGAGAGCGTCAGGGCTGCAATTTAAGTGGCCGCTGGCACCGTCCCAGCCCCCGCCAGGCCCCCCCCTGTTGCCCGGCCAACAAGGACACCATCCCAGCTCCCGCCAGGCCCCCTCCCCGTTGCCCAGTTGCCGACGGGCACCATCCCAGCTCCCGCCAGGCCCCCTCACCCCCGTTGCCCGGCCAACAACGACACCGTCCCGGCTCCCGCCAGGCCCCCACCACCCCCGTTGGCCGGCTGCCAACAGCACCATCCCAGCTCCCACCAGGCCGCCTCCAACTCACCCCCACCGTGTCACCCGGGGCCGGCTCTGGCACGAAGGCGACTCTCAGGTTGGTGCAGTACAGTGTGCCCAGGATGGATCCTTCGCCATCCCTGGAGCGGACGATCTTCCTCACGCGAGCTGCCTCTTCCAGGACATGTTCCCCTGCAGGGCGGGGGGCAAGAGGAAGGGATCAGGGCGAGCTGGGAGAACGCCGTGGTTTGGAACGGCCAGTGAAACCGGCTCCTCGGGGCGCTGGAAAGGAGGGGGCCAGAGGCAGGAGCCCAGGGCTGGCTGGGGAGTGACGCTGAGCCGTGCGAGAGACTGGGCTAAGGGCGTGCAATGCCACAGGGGTGAAAAGCACACCAAGGGGCCAGATCCTTCCCTGGCGTAAACTGATGGAGCTCTGTGGGCTGCAGCGGGACCAGGTGGATTTACCCCAGAGGAGAATCTGGACCTTTCAGGACGTGACATCCAGCCCGGCCATAACCAGACCAGGTGGGCTTTGCGCCCACAGCTATAAGCCGGCGTAACTTTCGGTGTCTAGGTCCCAAGGCCTGATCCTCAGGGGGCTGCGGTTGGAGCGGCTGGGGCTCAGCGCTGCTGTGAAGCAGGCCCCAGATCAGGCAGCAAATCGTACCCGCAAGCGACGACAAGCAGAGCTGCGGGGAAGGGGGTTTGCCCCACAGAACGCCTCCATGGGGAAAAATGGAGGCCGTGCTCAGAACAGCTGGCCCTGCTAGGGGGTTTCACAACGGGGGGTGGGTAGGGGCGGTTTTCTCTTGACCAAGGATCCTTGCATGTGGGGAAGGTGGGCACACAGAGTCCCCGGCATGGGGCAGGGAGGGGAATGGGGGGGGGCACACAAAGCCTCTGGCCAGACGTTGCAGTGAAGCCCTGAAATAGCGGGGGATGGGCTGGTCCACACCAGGAGCGTGGACGGGAGGTGTGGGGGGGATGAAAAGCCAAACAATGGATCCGCTCCCGCTCGAGTTCCCCCAGCCCAGGCCTGGGGAACACGGGCCCTGTCGCTCACGCCGGGCATGAAAGGGAAGCGCCCGGGTAACAGGTGCCTTTGTAGCTGTTCTTTGCTAGTCACGAATTCAGCAAAGCAGCTGCTCCGGCCACTGCCTGCAGCTCGTCATCCTAGCCAGAAACTGCCTTCAGACAGCTGCTGCTCGGAGCCCCGATTTAACCCTTCATGCCTCGAACACGGAGCAAGAGTAAAAGGCTCTTAAGGAGGAAGGGGATCCGGATCGGGCCCAGCTTACTGGTTTTTATAAAAAGTACTAAAGCTCCATCGTATCCAAGCACTCATCCTTCAATGTATTAGCCCTCGTGCACACCCCCGGGGAGGCAGGGCAGTGCTGTTTTCCTGATTGTCCAGGTGGGAAACTGAGGCCACGGGCCTTGCCCAAGGTCATACAGGGCATCTGTGGCACAGCAGTGATTTGAACTCAGTTCTCAGTGTCCAAGCCTGTGGACCATCCTTCTTCTCTACTCTCCAATCATTATACTCCAGGACTCCTGCCTCCCTCCCAGAGCCAGGGAGGGAACCCAGGAGTCCTGGCACCCCACCCCCCTGGGGGAGCCTGGGCCGACAGCAGATGTTGGACCCTGCGGCCCAGTCGCAGCAACAGCTGTGAAGTGGCTGCGGCCAGGGAAGGAACGGCTCCTCCACCTGCCAGGGACAGGTGAGCAGCGTGTGACTAGAGTCTATGGGGACTCTAGGTCTCGTCTGCTCTAGTCTAGGTTCACTTAGTCCTGCCACAGCGCAGGGGGCTTGTCGGGGGCCCTTCCAGCCCAACAGTTCTGTGATTCTGACACATCCAGGGACAGATTCTGAGCCTTCGGGGGGGAGAGACAGACACCTCATCACAGTCCCTCCTTCCCCCCCCCCCCCGCCCAGGGCGCTCACAGGAGGTCTGGTCACCAGCGTGTCACATGGACAGGCCAGTGGGGAGCCGAGCCTTGCCCAGCTGTGTCTGCCTCTGTGCGGCTAAGGAACAGGGAAGAGACACCACTGCTGCCGGTCCTTTCCGGCGCTCGGCAGCAGCACGGTCTAGTGGCTAGAGCACTGTGCGACGACTCAGGACGCCTGGGTTCTATACCCAGCGCTGCTGCGTGACCTGGGGCAAGTCACTGCCCTGCTCTGTGCCTCAGTGTCCCCACCTATCAAACGGGGATTGTGATACTGAGCGACTTTGAGATCCGCAGCTAGAAAGCGCTAAATTGGAGCTAGGGATTATTATTAGAACCAGAGCGAAAGCGCCAAGGAAACCCAACCGGGGGTTCAAAACACAAGCCACGTGCTCCCGCGTAGCCAGCGGGGATACCTGGGATACACGGGAAAGCCTGGCCGTTTCTGTTTCTCTTGCTGTTCATGTCAGAGGACTTTGGACCTCTCAGCTGTAAAGAAAGAGAACAGGTTGCTGTTAACTGGATGTAACCCTTTCCTTCCTGTGGGCTAACGCACAGACATTGGAGAACCAGACGCCACCTTTCAGGGTCTCTGGGGCAGGGGCTGTCTCTTTAGCCTATGTCCATATAATGGGGCCCTAACTAGAGCGCTGCAAAGCAAATAATGTTTAACCCGATGTGCTCATTAATTATTTCTTCATCTGCAGTCCTGACTTCTGACCCCATCCCCTCCAACAGCGCACGCCTCAGAGTGGCCAGCCTCTGGGGTATATTTCTTAAAGCCCTGACTCCCTGGAGTCCGGAGTAACTCAGCTTTTATTTTTGAATGAAAGGAAGTTTCCCGGCCTGGTGGTTGCAGGAAAAAAAAAAGGCGACAAAACACGACCTCTAAAGGGTTTGAAACCAGGAGGCAAAGAACAAGGAACCAAACATTTGTTTAAAATCTCCTGATTTTGATGCCAATCTCATGATTATTTGGGACAGGGCTTCTGATTTATTTGTTTGAATGCTTGGGGTTAGCCACACTGGGATCTACAAGCAGTGGCTCTTACCTGGAAACTCCACCCCCTTACAATCATACGGCAGGACGGTGATGGCATGCATGAGAGATAGCGTGGTCTAGTGGATAGTGCAGTAGACTGAGGTCCAGGAGAGCTGTGGGGGGGATATTTCCCACTTGGCCACTAGCCTGCTGGGTGACCTTGGGCAAGTCACTTCCCCTCCCTGTGCCCCAGCTCACGAGCGGCTGTTCAGTGGTGGTGATTGTTTAAATGGGGCCAGGCAATAATATTTTTAAAATCTGATGCTTTTGGGTGGGGGGGCGGCCTGAGCACAGGACTAGGACCCAGGATTCCTGAGTTCTAGTCCCATCTCCAACCCTGACTCCCTTCTGGGACCTTGGGTACATCACGTCACCTTTCTAGTTCAGTTTACCAATGGGGAAACTGAGGCACGATGCGATTCAAATGACTTTGCCCAACGTCACACAACAGAGCTGGGAATAGATCCCCAGACCCTATTAAACCACACTCCTCTCCCAGAGCTGGGAATAGAACCCAGGAGTCCTGGCACCATCACTGACCATTTTTAAATCAGGGTGGGTGTTTTTCTAAAAGATCTGGCCGAGGAATTATTCTGGGCAAGTTCTCTGGCCGGTGTTACGGGAGGCTGGACTAGATGGTCACAGTGGTCTGTCCCTTCTGAAAGCTATGATTCTCAGCTAGCCACATTGCTATGCTGGTTTGGCTACCCCCCAGCAAGCCAACGTCTCCTGACCACTAGTGCCAACTGAGGGCAGTGGGCTAATGCCAGCCGAGGGCGCAGGGTAAGATCTGAGTGCCACGCTACCAGGGAACAGCTACATAGAGGAAAGATTAGCCGGAACATAACTGCCTGAAACCTAAACCACAACTGAAGGCTATCTGGCATTTTTGTTAAGCAGAGAGCGAGCAAATGAAGTGGAACTGCTGCAGTATACCTTCCTCTACCCGATCAGATAGCGAGCCGGAAACCTCCTTGCAGCTGTAAACAACCTTCAGGGCCCAAAGCAGCGCAAGTCAAAGTCACTGCAAATGTAGAATCCAGAAACGTTTACCACTCTCAGCCCCAGGGATCTTAGAGCTGGTGAAAGGGACAAGATGACAGCCCCTGGGACCTTGGCAATCTCTGAGGAAGTTTGGTGGGCACCCAGACGCACTCCCACCCAACTCAGCCCTATTCTGGAGAGATCCCCTATAGGGCAGAGAGGGGAGTTTAGTCTTCACGGCCCATTGGTAGCTTGCAAGGCCAGATCATCTAGTCTGACCTCACTTCTGAGGCTGCCAGAAAGAGGGGCCAGTCAGTGCAGACTGGCATTTTCACGCCTGGCCACCTGGCTGCTAAGAACCACCCTGAGGCAAACAGATCTGCTGCAACCCCTCCTTTAATGCCTGCAGTTCAACACACAGAACAGGCACACGCACCTTGTTCCCAGAACCTCTTCGCAGAATTCAATTTTTTAAAATAATTTTTCACAGGTGTGTGAAATTATGTGGCTCAGACAATGTGGGTCGGGGGCGAGGGTCAGGCAGTAATTGTTTAATGACATCAGGGGCTAAGACCCCAAAAAGTTAAAGCTTTCTCGCCACTAAAAAAAAAAAAAATTAGTCAACAGCACATCTCAGAATATGCAACGTAAACAGCCTTAAAATCACGCTAATAAATTCGCAAGCAACGTTGTTCTCACTTTGCCTAGCTGTCCATTTCGATTATCGGCGATGGAAAGATTTTTTTCGTTGGGTGGCACGTGCGCACGGGGAAATTGACGTTCATCAACATTTACTAGCAAAAATCTAATCCGGGCAAACCTCCCTCCAGGCTCCCTTCCCTGGGATATGTTGCAGCACAAAGCACTCTGGATATTCCTGTATTGCGCCCCAGCCAGGCGAATGGAGGACTCTGATCCCTTCTCTCCTGCCCTTTTTTTTTAAATCTGACTTTTTAACAACATTCTTTCAGTGTCCTTGGACCAGATCCCACCTTCCCCCTTGGCTGTTGGCTACCAACCTCCACCCCTGAAGTGGCTGCATTACTCCAATGCTGCAGCCGGCATGTTATTATTTACATTACAATAGTAAAGTAATACCAGCGTGAAGGGGTTTTATACCAGCACAGCTTATTCGGCTACATTGACAGAGACACCTTTATAGAATAACTGCATCCTCACTAGGGGTTGTACTGCGTTAAGTATAGCCATTGCAAACAGCTTTGGTTAAAGTTAAGAATTAGATACATTCATGGAGGCTATGTCCATCAATAGCCATTAGCCAAGATGGTGAGGGACGCAACCCCATGCTCTGGGTGTCCCTAAACCTTTGACTACCACAAGCTGGGACTGGATGACAGGGGATGGAGCACTCACTAATTGCCCTGTTCTGTTCATTCCCCCTGAAGCACCTGGCACCGGCCACGGTCAGAAGACAGGATACTGGGCTAGATGGACCTTTGGCCTGACCCAGCATGGCAGGTCTTGCGTAAAGTGCTACAAAAACTGTGTAAGAGCAGCCCTGAGTAACTGGTTAGTGACGCCACTGAGCATATGGGAGGCTCAGTGCCCCGTCAGCCCCCAGCTATGCCATGACAGCAGGGGGAGACAGCCCCCAAGCACGGACCAAAATGTTCGGGGTCAGCAAGCTATTCATTCCATGCGAGGTTCTCCCTGGGGTGGGGAGAACAGCTGGCAGCCAACTGCTAAATTTCCCAACCATGAGGGCTAACAGAAGAGAGTCCAAAGAGGAGTGGCAACAAACTTATTTAAAGCACCGAGCAACAGATGGGAGGCAGCAGAGTTAGGAAGTTTAGCTCCTAGGGTTGAATTTCCTGCGGTGCCACAGACTTGGGCAAGTCACTTGGCCTCTCCGTGCCTCCATTTCCCCCTTGGGATAACCGCCCTGCCTTTTCAGGGGGCTGTGAGGGTAAATCCATGATGTGCTCCGTCAGATACGATGGGGATCGAACCTAGATCTTTAGCGAGATAGGGAACAGCCTTGTCCTGACTGACAGGGACCAGGACAGAGCACATACTCCCTAGCTCTTTCCACGAGTAGCTCTCAAAACCCTCTCAGAGTCAGTCAGTATACTCACCGCCATTTTACCAATGGGGAAACTGAGGCACAGAACAGGGAAGCGACAGGCCCAAGTTCACCCAGCAGAGCCAGGAACAAAACCCAGGCCTCCTGAATCCCATTGAAAAGGTCTAACCAAGACTTGGGTCCCCCCCACCCTTTATAAAGCGGTTTTCTCCCCCCTTGAAATCATAGCAATGATCTTCCCTCCTTATTGTCTCATTATTTCCCCCTGCTCCCCCATGTGTCTGTCTCCACCTGTCTTCTACTTAGATCGTCACCTCTTTGAGGCAGGGCAGGGGCTGAGTGTTGTGTTTGTCCAGCGCCTAGCACGGAAGGGGCTCCTGGGCCAAGGCTCCATGCAACACAAACAACAAATGAGGCTTGTTTGAGTCTTTAAAGACTCGCTGGCTCTCCTGCCAGGGCGCTCTTGGCGCCTCCGGAGCATATTTCTGCTCGGCGGTGGAAAACAATCGTCTCATTATGCAAGGAATGCACAGAGACGCGCAGCCAAGGCAAACTTTCCCTGCCAGCTGACCCGTTCCAGCCCCAGGGAAGCCCTGCGCAAACGCGGGACGTGTTGGAGGTTTGGGGGGGGTCAAGAAGAAAGGGGGGGTCACCCCGTTTGCAAGAGCAAGAACAAAGCCCTTTGGACAAAAGGCTCCAGTCGCCTGGTTACCAGCCCGGTGGACAGCGCAAAAACTGGTCCCAGAAATGGGGGGAGGAAGCGGCCCTGCCCAGGCTCCGAAGCCGAGGACAGAATGTACCGTGCAAACAGCCCTGCTAAAAATGACCGAGTTTGGGGCAACCACACGCGGCGCTTGGCGTCGGACAGAGCCGAGCCCGGCCAGCCAGGCGCGTGGGGAGCGGGGCTGCTGGCTGGGAACCCCGGAGCTGGGCTGGCGTGCGCCAGGAGCACCAAACACCCCCCGCAACCCCGGGGGCTGGACGGAACCGAAAGGAGCCGCGCCCCCTGCAGCCCCCCACTGCCATTTTAACACCAAGGCTACAAAACAAAGGAGGGGGGCAATGCTACCCCCCCAAAAAATAATCACTTTGCTTCCAACAGCCAGGACCTCGGCTGGAGACACCCCCAGGAGCCAGGCAGGGTGGGAGACTCCGCACATAAAC